CGATCAGAGTTCTAGGAGGGGCGTGGCCGAGGATTTTTGGTCGCAGGGGTTGAGTCTCCCGGACGGAACGGGAGGCTCTCGTTTCATGCCAGCGGTTACCCCGGAATCGAACTGTCGTCGCGAAGTCCCGCGGGGGTCGGATCACTTCGGAGCGATAAAATCAAAAGGGTTTCCGCAAAAACGAACTGCCGTCGTGCATCAGGACGGGAAACGGCATCAAGGGGAGAGGGCCATGGCGGCGGAAGACAGAAACTCCGGCCGTCATGGGTTTGAGGGATAGGTGGTGGGTTCGAAGCCTTCAGGCCTCGTCATCGGCCTCATGAAGTGACCGGACCGTCGGGTTTTTGCTGTAGAGGTGGTTGGTTCGAGGCCTTCAAGCCTCGGCGTCGGACTCGCAAAGTCCGCGCGGAAGTTTCCGAGAGGGCGAAGCGGCGGGAGGACTCACCGATGTCCGAATTCGAAATTGCGCGGGTAGCGCCCCGCATTACGGGAGAGCTCGGGGAAACGTGTCGCTCCCTCGTAACCCAGGACCAAGCGTCGCCAAGAACACGAGTCCCCCTGGCGACACCAGCGACAATCAAACTGCGGCCGCCACACGGCGTGAGCGGCCGACCAGGGCAACATAGTCAAACCCGTATAAGGCAATATTAGAGTTCGGGAATCTAAGCGATCAATCAAGACAAACCCGTTCCCCCTTATATTACACGCCCGAGGCGGGTCTCGCCAACACACTTGCTCCGTCCGTCTCAACGCGCGCCGTACGTCCGCATCGCAGTAGACGTTGTCGTCATCTGCAATGGGGAAGGTCGGTAGCGAGATGAGACGATCGGAGGTGCGCAATGAACACGGGCAAGATCCCGCGCTCCCGGTCATCCGAACCAATACCGACTCCATACAACACTCGATGCAACCCTTCTCTCTCAAAGTTGGTGCGTCGGGAGAACATGGCGAAATCTAAGCTCTCTTTCCCTTGCGGGGGCGTCAACCGCGCGCGCCCGGACGCTGGCGGTTGACGTCACCGGTGCAGGGATGAGAAGTTCAAAAAAAGCGATGATTACCAGTTCAAAAAGAAAGGCGAGAGAGAGAGAGTTACACGAGACTGCGAGTGCGCGCAGGAAGGGCCGCGGAAGGGAGGGGAACAACGGGATTAACACACTCATACTCCTAAGCAGACGGTCCTCCTGTTCTGTCCCCCACGTCCCCGCCCGGATAAGTACGTACACACATACATGCATGCAATCAACAACCCTTGACAGGACATCCGATCATCCATAGACCTTTGACATCACTCATGCGCGCAACAAGCTCCCATCACTCGGGGCCTCACACACACGTCATGCATAGACAAAGCAGCAGTGGAGATAAAAGCGAGTCCTTCTTGTACACAAAAATTCTCAATTAACTGCCACCCCCAGGCGCAGCCTTCAAAACCTCCCAAGACCACTGACCACCATAGCCACAAGGCCCTGCCGCGGCCGGCGTCCAATCCCCACCACTGCTCAGTCCCTCCGACTGCTTCGCCCCGAGACTACCGCGGGTCCGCCCCACGTCGTCACTCCGCCCGTCTTGGGCTCGTCGAGCCTGTTCGGCGCCGCGGACTTTCGTGCATAGCTCGCGCAGCATTGCAGTCGAGATCAAAGAGAAGGAGAGGAGAGGGTTGCGCGAATTTATAGCGCGGGAGGCGGCGGGTTGTCAGCGCGAGGTGCGGGCAGCGCAGGGTGTAGATGGGCAGGGCAGAAGAAAGGTGGGGAGGCAGAGGGTTCGGCCCGCGGGGTTGCATGGTCCTACGTGATTGGGGTGCTTGTTCAAGTGGTGAGCGGTTTCCCGCTCTCCACATTGATCCGAGCATCCCAACTACGCAGCCAATCACTTCACGGAGGAAGATGGGGTAAGGATCAAGCTGGGCGTAGGGGAAGACGAAGAGTCCGGCTTGAGGGAAGCGCGCTCAGAAAGAGAGGAAGATGGCACGGGGATGCAAAGCAAGAAACAGGGGTGAGAGACGCGCGAAGAAATCGGAGCTTAGGCGTGGGCGCGCAAAAATTCAAAAATTCCCAACCGAAACCGTTTCTTGGTTTTCATACCGCGGCCGCTATTCGCCCGCGCGCGAGTTATTTAGCCAAAAAAAAAAAAAAAAAAAAAAAGCCGTTTCAAAAAAGAAAGCAAAAAGCAAAAAGAAAGATAAACCCCTTTTTGTTCGCATCCGTACTTCGGGGCTCCCGGGGGATTTTTCCTCAGGGATACGACAAGCCGCGTGGTACGGATCTGAGCTTATCACAGGCCGCGGTGAGGAGAGCGAACGCGCTGGGCTGACGGAACAGGAAAAGTGATTGGTGGTGGCAGCTTTGGTGGCAGTGTCCAGGCACATGCAAACGACGAATGGGTTGCAACAGCGGACGGCCAGAAGAGTCGGGTCGAGGGAGGCCGCTGTCACGCAGGCGATGGCGGATTCAGTGTCGTCTCCCATTGTCTGGGATGCGCCATTCCTCATGGCTAATGCCATCTTCGCAGGAGTGCTGCCAAGGGACACGCCAAGGTGGTGGGTCGGGAGGAGGACAGGGGGCACCTAGCAGGATCTCATCATCGACGATGATGCGACTGAAGACTACTATCATGAAAAATTGAGGATGGCGAGACGCGCCTTCCACGAGATCGTCGCTGTGTGTGCACCCTTTCTTCAATGTCGGCTCACCCACTACCGCAGTCCTTTGCTTCCTGAGCAGCTGGTCGTGTTTGCTCTTTACAGATGGGCGTCTGGTGAGACCTTCGACAGTGCAACCTCATCCTTCGGCATGGGGAGGTCGTCTGGGATCAAGGCTGTGAGGGATGTCATCTTGTCGGCGTACCCTGACAAGATATGCATGCCAACCGGTCAGCGGTTGCTCCAAGTTACGCGCGCGTTCACAGCGAAAGGCTTCCCCAATTGCTATGGCTGCATGGATTGCACCCATGTGTACGTCGATAAACCTGTCAATGCGCCGTCGGAGAATTACTATAACCGAAAACACAATATTCGGTCGTGGCTCAAGTGGTGGTTGATTTGGACATGTGCGTCATCGATGTGTTCGCCAGGTATCCCGGCAGTGTGCACGACGCGAGGGTGGTGGAACTCATCGTTCTGCAGGCGTGCGGAGGCAGGCACATTGTTCACGGCGGAGACTGTGACCCTGCCTGGCGGGGTGCGGACGACGGGCTACGTCCTGGGGGACAATGGGTATGGTCCCTTGCCATGGCTGGTGGTGCCTTACGGCGGAGTGGTGCAGCCTGATGACGAGGCGTATTTTGACACGTGCCACAAGACCGCAAGGAACGTCGTTGAGAGAGCGTTTGGGCGGCTGAAGGGCATGTGGCGTTTGTTCCTCAGGCACCACAAAACAAGCATGGACAACATGCCCCAGCAGTTCACCGCAGTTTGCATCATCCACAACCTGCTCATTGAGGCAGGTATCGACTTCGACCAGCGGTTTCATGGAGAGAGATGCGAACGGGAACGACCGGCCGATCGATCTGGGCATGCATGAACCGCCGGCCCCGGTGTCGCAAGTGGACGCGAGCGAAGCTGCGCTGGACTTGCGTGTGGCACTAACTCGCCGCATGCAGCTCTTACGATAGTTCATATGGCAATCGATTATCCGGCGGCGTCTCGCGGGTGCGGACACTTGTCACTGCGTTTAGGGTTATAGGATCATTGTTGACGGCGTAATCGGTAGGGTTGGCCATTTCAGCGTAGCGCTCGGCACATGACAGGGGGTTGAACGGGGTCCGTTAGTGCGGATGGATTTGGTTGTTCGTTTACATGTTATGTAGGAGGTGCAAGTCAATCCTTTCGTCTATCGGCGAAGGCAATCAATGCTTGTACATGAAGTCTGATGAGGTTGCTTTTAAGATTACAGTGAATTAACCCCGTCTCGATGTGGATGTGAATCGGGGGGTGCCGCTCCTCCTTAGTTCGAATCTTGTGGCTTTCAATATTTATGAATTCCATCCTTGTACCGTGGTTGACAATCGGCCTTTCAATTTTGTGTTTGCGTCACTCACTCTTTGCCTAGTGCTGTTTTTCTTTGTGCGGCTCATTCTGTGTTCAATGTCGTTTAACAACGTGGTCATTCACATCCACGTCACAAAAAAACAAAAAAAAAACGAAAATTATATGGCGAATACCACTTTCAAAACAAACAAAAATGCAGCGAACACGAAGAGCATACACGCCATTGACTTACGTTGTACGTAGTGTAACAAAACACGGCGAGCACGAGAGAATATGATTGTTTATAGCACACTTTC